GTAAACTATCATATATATGGCTAACTATATTGATCATACTATATATGTATAAGTACTACTTCAACAGAAAACTGCACAATTCCGTCTTAATTATTCCCTACACATTTTTATTATATACTAGAGTAGGTAGGTTATCAGATCGTCGAATACAGTATTCTGGACCCGGTATTTTGATTATTCAGAGTGGTCCGCGAATTTCTTCTCCCACCAAGGCCTCCTGATAGTTAAGTCAGTGAGCAGCACAAAGACCAATGCTTAATTATTAGTGGCATTCTACTGGTTTACAGATTTACTCTTGTGTTTTTGTTACTTTTTCATTCCATGTAACTGGATGACATCAGGATAATCTTAGCCAATTTCAGATATTACAGTTGATCACAATCCTTATATAGACCATATTACTTATTAGCAGGTATTTTTTCCTCATAATATCTTATAACAAGTAGCTATATTTGAAAACGTCGGTTAGATACGGTTAGGCCAACAGATGCAGATTTTTTACCAACTTCAGACATTGTCACTTGGAGGATTTGAACCTGTATCTTATGATCAGACTTACGGAATGCTAACCACTGCACTATTGACCCATAGGCTATTTTTAAAAATTATATAATTTTCATATAATAATATTAAAGTTTATATTATTTTTAGAAAAATATATACTATAGATTTTATAATTCAAAATTTTTAATAATCACTCTTTCCATTGATCCTTTGACCATATACAAAAAAGATGTTCGCAAGAAATTTTTATACTTCTATGCTAATAAAATCTTACCACCTTCTTTAAACCAACCTAAAGAGTTCTTTTAGAACTCTTTCACCATTCCTTTTCTCTTGTCTACAATTTTCTTTGAACAAACTGAACTCTTGTGGCTTGAAAAGTTCAGCTCCTACCTTTACTACCTATGGCAAGAAAGTTCCTAAAGGGAAAAGAACCAATAGTGAAGTATCTTCCACCTCTTAGTTATGGTGGAGATAACAGAGGTTTAAAACCAAACAAAGGACTCAATTTTTTACCCTTTGACTGATGTTGTGACCTCTCAGAACTATCTTTTTTTCAGCTTTCTGGGGAATTTTGCCTACCCCAGCTTGACCCTAAAATTTCAGGTAGTACAGATCTCACCAACTCTGATTGGTCAACGCGAAACACGTTGAATAAGATTGATAAACAAGCTCCTATTGGCCACCTCATGTGTCTGAATACATTTCCTCAGCTCCATAAGAATCTAGGGTCTATCGTAAGTCATTTTGTTAGGTGCAGGTGGATACAGGACATGATACCGACACATTATTGGATACAAGAAAGAGTCCGTCCAACCATGGTAAAGGTCATAAGATGCTAGATCGCTTCCTTTTAAAGATCAAAGCCGCCTATTCCTGATTGTATGTCAAGTAGGTTCCAACTTCTACTGCCTAGAAAGTTCAAATCAGAGAAAGCAGGAAACCACTTAGGATACTCAGTGATAAAGCTCATGCGCAAAGTAATCCAAGAAGTTTTCATCCTATCTTCAAAAAATTCTGAGCTGGAAGATTGGAAGGTTAATACCACTACACCAATCGAAATTCAAGTCCGAAAATGTCAGCAGTGACGTGCGAGCTGGCCAGAATGTCTGAAAGATCCTTATTGATCGTTAGTACCAATGGCCACCAGCAGGGTATATTAACCGCAAGGCTAGGTACTGTCCTTTATATAAGGAATTAAATCTGAAATAAGAGGCACAGATGGGTAAGTATACCCATATTTAGATAGGAATGAATTTAATTGATAATATACTAAAAGACTTTCAAGTTGATCATGCGGATACCAATATACCACCTGGGCCTTCTTGATTATTCCCTCCCCATAAGCCTTAAAACTGTACAGTCTCCTCTTTGGCTCCACTTTATTTCTGTATCAAGAAATAAAACTGATACATTTTTCATGACTGTTTATTTTTCTTTTATTTCCTTTATTTTCATTTATAACACCAGCATGCTCTAGGGATGTTGGTTTTTCTTTGAAAAAAGAAAGGTCAATAAGCCTTGAAGTAGCTTTAGAATAACTTTAGCTTATCATTATCTTTATCTTCCCCAAATATACATCCATGTATTCATGCTTTGCGCAATGTAAATTTGTAATTTGGGATCCAATAAAGTTAGGCATGAGCCTGTTAAAAAAAAAAAAAAAGATTTTATAATTTAAAAATTGTCAAAGTTGAAAACCATTATATATAATTAATTTTTTTTATAAATAAAAAATTTATTGTCAAAAAAAAAAAAAATAATCTATACAAATTTTATATTTAAAATCAAAATATTTCTTGTAAATATAATTAATTCTTTATAATAAAATTTGCATAAATTTATTAATAATCTAATATATTAAATATTAAACTAGAATTTAAAACAACAGTAATTTTACATAAAATACATTTATTCAAAAAAATTTTTTTTGATTTTTAAATAAACAACTATCCTAACATAAAATAAGTAAATACAATCTTTAATAACTGTAACTAAATAGACCTACAAATAGTAAGCACTATCTTATAAAAAATACACTCGGAACGTGAAGACTGTGTAGCTAATATTTTTCACCATTCCTTATTCCTTCTCTTATTTCATCAGGAATTGGAATATTTAAGGCCTGATATCTATTAATTAATTTCTTATATGCATGTGGATGGCCTCTTAGATGTGCCTTTTTCATCCATAATGCACCTTGCTCCAAATCTTGTGTCACACCGTGAGCGCCATTAATCAGTAAATCACCATAATTAAACATTGCATTAGGATTTCCTTGCTTTGCAGCCTTTTCCAAATTTTCAATAGCAATCTTATCGTTTGCAGCACTTTTGGTAACACCTTCACCGTTAAGCAATGCTACACCGTATCGAAATTGGGCGTCTGGAATATTCTTCTCGGCCGATCGACGAAAGTATTCTATAGCCATCTCTTTATTCTGTGGAACGCCGCGATCACCGGCAATCAGATAGTATCCAACATAAAATTCTGCGACCGCATCTCCGTGATCAGCATGAAGTTTAAAAATTGGCCATGCTTCCTCATATCTTTTCGAACTGTGTAAGTCCTTGGCTTCACGTACACCAGGGAAACCTTGTGGAATAGGACGTAGAATTTGAAGCATAACTTGACTAGAATCGGCGACATAATCTATTGACTGTTCGTTATTAATGATACTTGGATAATTGTCTTCATTGGGATTTAACAATTCACTTCCTGTATAACTGGAATAGATGGTCGAAGTGGAGGGCATAGACGAGTGCGAACTCCTAGAATCATTTGAACGAGAACTTGAGGTAGACGAAAGGGAGGCATAACGACTAATACTTTCTGTCCCATATGTTTTGTGGCCAGTTGGTCTCAGATTCTTTAATTCTTTGAAGATGTTATCAGCGGTCGGACGTTTTATCGGTCGTTGGTGCCACGCTTGCTCCATCATTTTTTGGTACGCTGCATGTGTGCCCGGTATGAGCGGAGGACGTTCGTGTAAAACAGTAATCCTATTAATCAGGTCACTGGTGGCTGTTATATTAGCGAATGGCACTTCTTGTGAAGCAAGTTCCCAAAGTACTATACCAAAACTACATTGGCAAAAAAAATAAACCTTATTGTGATTTTTCCTTAGAACTTAACAACTCATATTTTTAAAAAAGAAAGAATACCTGTAAATATCACATTGCTTGGTATATTCATTGCCCCCATAATTTGCAAGTTTTTCTGGAGCTAGCCACCTGCATTCGAAATAAAGTATAGCATGTGGTATGCTTTAAATAAAGCGTATTTAATCAGACCTAACCGGCCAGCGGGAATCAGAACTCACCTGTATCTAAATGTGATATCCTTGACTTGGGTGGTATCATCGGTTTCCTTACGAGCAGAGGTAAAGTTGCTAAGTTTGGCAGTCATGTTCTCAGTCAACAAAATGTTATGACTGAATGGATGGAAAACGAAAGTTACGAATTAAAAAAGGAATCAAGTAAACGAATAAATGGACAAAACCGGAACCAGAATAAATTATATATTAACCTTCTTATGTCATGGTGTAAAATATCATAAACATGGCAGAAAGCCAATCCACCTGCTATCTCGGAGGCAATCTTATATTTGAATTCCCAATCTAAGTTTCTGTTATTCTTTAGGTATTGATGAAGATCACCGACTTCGGCCCATTCTGAGATGATGTACAGTTTACCGGAACGTTGCATGGTACCGTAGCTGCAATATCAAAATGAGCATTAATGAGATCCGTAATTGTAGGGTGTAATTAATAAAATGGAAAGTAGTTAACTTACAATGTTATTATATTTTGACAGTTTTTTAATTCCGTCAAAATAGCCACTTGTTTCTCGATGACATTCAGGGATCGAGGTAATGATTCTATGTGACCGATTTCTTTCTGAGCAACAGTTTGAGCGATAAACATTTTTTTCACTATCTGCCCCCCTCCTCGTCTTACTTCGTCCGAGTCGTCGTCGCAATCGGTGATTTGAGCACTGGGAATTTTTGACTTTTGTAGATTCGGTGACATTTCACCTTCCTTATGTACATTAACAACAGCTTCCCGAATATCCTCCAATTTTTTTTCAAACACAGAGATCTTTTGTCTCGCGTCCATTTCATTTTCCCACAGATCCTTCATAACTTCTTCGATAACATATAAGGATGTTTTGATTTCAGAAAGGAATAACTTTCGGTCCTCCTCGATGTCGTGACGCGTTCGTAAGCATTGAGAAAGACCCAATTGTGCAATAGCACCATCGAATTCGTCTGTGACATCTCTGTAATCGTTTTCAATCTGAATCCAAATAAAAAAAAATCAGGGACTTGTAATGCGAGACAATGATGGTCAATTCTGTAAGACACCAAAATTTACCTCGTGAGCTGTAATTAATTTCATAAAAGTACTAGATTTGCTAATCTTTACAATGAATTCTTTTGCATTCTGTAACGCTTTAACATATGCTCGCAAAGCCAAATCATTTTCCTCCGGGTTCATTTGCGTCACAGTTTGGTTTGCCACTCGTATGCGTTCCGCCAACCTTCTACAGACTTTCTTGTTATGCCCGGCCTTCTCGGCTAAATCTATTATTTCACGGAACGTAGAAGTTATAATACTTATAATGGGAATTACATTGCCTGCGTCCACTAATACTTGAGTTATTGGTTGAATTATGGAAACGCCTGCTTGCTTGAAGTCAAAGTCTTGAGCCATATTTATCAACTTTTTTTAATTCTTTGCAATAAAAAAAGGTGAATATTTGGCACCTAAAGACTATTCCAGTATTGAAATAATGCTATAATGCTATTTATACCTTGAAAATCATTTTCTAAAATGTGTATGCGTGTACGGAGATACTAAAAAACTCCGAGGCAGCAAAATTATATTACGTAACACTAGTCACCATCGTAAAGAACATGTTAAATTAGATACGGTCTATCAGTATGTTATTTGTTACAAAAAATCTTAAGGCTTTAAAAAAAACCATTAATTGAAATCTCGCTTTAAAAAAAAAAAAAAAAAAAAAATTTTTTTATACTTAATAACTAGATTCTATAAAGACATATAATCATTACATCAACTATTTTATACATCCCCCTTGGGAACAAGTTGAAGCATGCATATAGAGAGGGATGCATTTTTTTTTTTATTAATCTTTAGTCAGGTTAGATATAGTAAGTATACTTTATATTTGAAATGTTTTGCTAAAGCTAAATTTCTATTTAACTTCCTTATCTCTGTTTTATAAATTTTCTAAAACTTAGTGATTTATTTCTATGAGATTCTGACAAAACTTTAATTAAAATCCAATTACTTTATTTCAAATTCAACTTTTATTATCAAAATCTCCTTGAGATTTCCATTTTCTAAATTTCTTTCCTTCATTAATAGTTTTTTTTTTATTAAAGATATAGTTTTTAGGTTTAAAAAATATTAAAATCTTTTAATCTTATCTTCTTTATATTTTCCTGTATTTATATATATTCAATTGTTTTCTCATATGTTGTATTCCAGATTTTTTTTCAGATTCGGTTATAGACTCTTTTTTATATTTTTAGTATTTATTCTTTTGTTTCTTTTTCTATTTGTAATCTATAATATTTTAAATTTGCTTTCCAAATAAAATTATTTCTTATAAGATTAATATAGAAATATAACTAGTTGTTAAAATTTGTTTTACTAGTTTAAAGATTCATTTACCTAGTTTCATCAGTTATTTACAATTATTTATAATCAGCTTAATATATTTTTTTCAAATAGTTTTTTTTTTCTTATAGAAGTCATTTGAAGTTTTTAAGAATTTTATCTATTTTTGACCTGTGGGTCAATAGCACAGTGGTAGTGCTCCCAGGTCGCAATCACAAGATCCATAGTTCAATACCACTTAAGGACCAAAATCAAAAATTATCCTTTTGATCAGGTTTACTAGTTATCCTGTGAAAGTCATATCCAATCATCCGGAACAAGCTTCAATCAGGTTAGGCTACATGAAGATGGGACTTCTGGCCTCCCTTCAATCAGGGGCTGAGATCTATGGTCGTATTACCAGAAAGATTACATGAAGAAAGGCTTCTGGTCTAACCTATTATAAACACCCCACAGACCTCCTGCCCTGGCAGTCTCCAGGACCCCCGCCCTTCTAACTCAAGATATCCCAATATGGTGTTCCGCTTAAATGAAAAATCAATCAAGCAACTGATCCGATGCCACAGGTGGTGACAAAGAAGGTAAAGTGCCCCCTTCCGAGGTCTGAGCGAATAATA